GACCGCGGCCGGCCGGGCGGACGGGGCGGTGCCCGCCGTTGGGCGCTGGCGGCTGGACCTGGCTGGCCCGGCGCGCAGAAGGCAGGACAGGACAGGACAGGACAGGCCAGGCCAGGCCAGGCCAGCCAAGGCGGAAGAGGGCCGGTGGGACCGCAGATGAGGAAAAAAAATGACAGAGGCTCAGCGCATCTGCCCGAAGCCTCTGCCACGGCGCAGCGTCAGCCTACCCTGTCTGGCCTCCTTGGCCGCCGCACCTTGGGTCGCAGGGCTCCCAGCCCTTCCTCGGCGAGTGGAAGCCAGCAAGCTGACGCACTCGCTACGTACCGCGCGCAACCCTGGCCCAGGCCTGGCCTAGCCTCGCACGCCAGCCGGCCAGCCCTCGATCCTGCCCAGCCCGGCCTTGGACCCCTCGCTCCATTTGGCGTCTGAAGGCGACATCGATCCAGCAGCTGCACGCACCCGGCTCCTCCCTTGGCTTGTGAAGCTTAGCTTCCATCGACTCGACCGGGCTGGCCCGTCCCGGTATCTCACCGCTCATCGATCTCGACGTCGTGCGGCGATATCCATGGCTGCTGCCGGCCTTGCAATTCGGTCATCTCCTGGCCTTCCTCGAAGCCAAGGAGAGGATGCTCGCCGGCGGTGCCAGAGGGGCCGGTGATGGGCGATAGACGATACGCACGTACGGTGGCCGTACGCCCGCCCGGCCCCTGCAGAGTGCGCGCGTCGGCCTGTTCCAGCCTCCTTTTTGGGCTTGGCCTGGCCAGCCTACCGCCCAGCAGGGTCAGGCTGACGGCTTGCCTTGCTTTTTCTTCTCGATCGAGAAGACTCGAGCTGGCGGCCCTCCCGTCCTGCCTCGGCTCTCCGCCCAATCCACCGGCCGTACGCCGTCGTCGCTTCCGGCCCGCGCATCGGACGACCCGCCTGCGGCCTACCTAGCTTGCTTGTGGACATCCCTCCCATGCCGTCCATCGGCTTGTCGTGCAACTCCTCGACAGACCAGACGGAGGAGCAGGCAACAAGCAAGCAGGGGCGACAGACCGGGCTGACCAGCCGTGCATACATCATGATCCCGCCTACGAGCCCTGGTAGGCGCAAAACACGCCTGCCTGCCGGCTCGCTGTGCCTTGGGCGTAAGGTTGTCGTGCGTGGCACCACTGGCCGCGCTGGTGCTTCCATGAAGCGAGCACGCACGCACCCTGCCTCGCACGCACGTATGGCCATTCAATCAGATATGGAAAGGCGCCCAGCGGGCTAGGTACGGCAGGCAGGCGGTTGCTCCCGGCGTTCGGCTGCTTCCGTTGATGGAGGACCCCCCTGCCTCGGCGGCGGTGGCGAGGATGGGAGCGGGCATGCATAAGGTCTTCTCCTCTCCTCCCCTCCCCTCTCTCTCTCCGTATGGTTGCATGCAGGCCTGGGCCGCCCGCCCCGCTGGTCAGCCCCGTCCGGCCGTCCCTCTTTGGACGTCGTTGCGATGGCCAGATTTGGACATCCTTTTGCCGCCAACTTCTCGTCAACCGGCGACGGAGACAGCCCCTCGCAGCATGGCTGAACGGCGAGCGGATCTCGAGCTGCAGGGGCCGTTTGCCAGGCTAGCAAGTGCTGCTCGTCGCAGGCCAGCAGGTGCAGCCCCAGCACGCCTGGAAGCAGGGGCTCGTGGAGCAGCAGGACGGGGACGTGGTGCAGTACCGACAGGTCAAGCTCCGGCCCATATGGCAGGCTCGGGCGAGCTTGCTTCCTGTCTAGGGGGGGACAGTCGCGGCGTTGCCTGTCGCATGACAAGGGCGCATCAAACAACGGCGAACGGGACGGGCGCGCGGCGGAGGTGGTTGAAGCTGTGCATCATGATCGCGAGCAGCAGGTCCAGGCCACGGGCCCGGCCCCGGCGGTCAACAAGACTTTCGGCACCGAAAAAGAAAAGAGCCACCGCCGACCGCCTCCCCTCGCTGCGGTATTCTTGCCGCTGCTTCTCTTTCGCTCCCTGTCCCCGCCATTTCAGCCAGCAAGCACCACGACGATATCGATACCGACCCCAAACAGGATGTGTCAAGGGCAGATCAGAGACTGCGAGAGGGGACATGGTCGAAGCCGTCAAAGAGCGAGGCGAGATCCGCGCTCGCAGACGACATCGTCTCGACCGCCTTGGGCGCACCGACGAGCCTGTTGCCGGCGACGGATCCGCTCACGAGGAACGGAGAAGCGTCCGGTGAATCCACGACCAGCACCGGCTCGTCGTTGAGCAGAAACTTGGGCGGCGAGAGGCGTTCGCGGCAGCCCTCGGCCTCTGCGGCTCGAATCGAGAGGCCAAACGCCTCGAGAAGGCCCCTCGAACGCGAACTTGCAGCATCGCCAGCCGCGGGCGTCCGTTGGACACTCTTGTTGGGCATGAAGGGGGGTGTGACCTCGACGGTCACTTTTGCTTGTGCCGAGGGCGACGTTGCGACTCTGAAGCCGGGCGCCGACCGCAGCACCAAGGGAGCCCTGTCATCCGTGCCCAGCGGTGGTCCTGCCGAGAAGCTGCGGAGCTGGCCTGGCACGCTCGAGTCTGTTCTGCTCCGGCGGTGCCTCCCTGAATCGTCGTGAGAAGGGCTCCTCGACAGCCACTGCTTGGTTCCTCCGGGCTCGTCGTTGCCAGTTGCGGGCGTGATGGCAATTGTCCCGAACGATGGCAGTGACCTCGGCAGCGACGACGCTCGTTGCTGTCGCGATGGACGGTCGCGCTCCCCGGGCCTGGCTGTGCCTTCGTCAGATTTGTCGTCGTGCCCCGCCATGATGCCCTCGATAAGGTCCTGGAGCTCTTCGCCGTCGCCAAAGCTAGAGTTGGCCTCGGTTGAGGCGTAGCTCAGCACGGTGCTGAGCGCGATGCTGGATCTGGCCTCGCTATTAAACCTGCCCCGCTGCCAGCCGCCCGTCTCGCTCAGGTCGCGGGTGTACCCGAGCGTCTCGTCCGGCACGCTGCTGCGGTCTTGCGACGTCCACCGCGGTCGGCGATAACCCCCGATCCCGCGAAACGGGCTGCCGGCCTTGGAGCTCGGCGTCATCGTGAGCGGGGTCAGGCAGTCGTCGAAGCTCTCGACGAGCTGCGACAGGGTCTCTGTGGCCTCATCAGCGCCACTGAAGCCGATCGAGCCCGAGAATGCCATCTGAGCGGGCGGCGAGACGATGGACGGCGTGGCCTGTCGATGCGACGGTGGGCTGATCATCGCCGCCTGGTACAGCTTGCCCCCATCGTCGCGTGCCCCGACAGGGCTCATTGCTTCGAAGAGGCTGCGCTGAGCTGGCTGGCCTCGGAGCCGGCCGACGCTGCTGGCGGTGCCAGCAGAGAGGAGAGGAAGCAAAGGCAGCGCAGCGACTGGAGGCCGGGACACGGACGAGCCTCGTCTTGCGCTCGTAAAGGGCGAAGGTCGCGGAACCGGCCGGGGAATGAAGCGGCTCGGTGAGGATCGAACGCCGCCACTGGCCGGGGATCGTCGTGGTGACAGATTCCCTCGCCGAGGCGTCTGCGGAGACGACGTCGCAGGAGATGCTTCTGTGTACAGGATCGAGGTCGCCACCGTCGCGACGCTGTAGCTCGACGACCGAGGGTTTTTGGTGACGCCAAAGGTCTTTGCAGTGGCGCCCACGATCCTCGCGCCCGAAGGCAGCGAAGGCGAAGCCTCTTGCGAGCTGATGGTACTCGCCCGACTGCGGCTCGCGCGAGGAGGGATGGGCAAAGATCGGTTCACCACGACCTTGGGCAAGCGAACCTTGTCGGCCGAGGGAGGCTGTCCGACGATTTCGACGAGCGTGATGCCGCTGCGGCCGGCGGGGGCACACCGGCCGTCATCGACCTCCTCGATGGTTTGGTACGTCGACGAGGAGCTCTTGGAACTCGGCGGTCGAGCAGAGACGGTCGGAGGGGCGATGACTGTCGGCTGGAGCACAAGCTGGCGGAGCCATGGGTGCCTCTTTGTGCTCATGAATCGCGTCTTTTGGCGCTGGGATGCCGGCGTTGCCATGCTCGAGGTAAAGCTCGTGGAAGACGAGACGGGGTCACCTTTGACCGCCTCGTGCCGGGAGGGCGTCGCCTCCTCGACGCAGACAGCAGGCAGGGAAGGGCGGACCTTGAAGCTGAAAGGTCTGATCGGAACCACTCTTGACGCCTCATGGCCACGGACTGGAAGCGGGGGAGGATAGCGTGAGGAAGGCGCATGAGTCAGTTCACCTTCCGCGACTCTGCGCTCAGTGCGGAGCTGCGACGCAAGCTTACTGAGATCGATGCTCTTGCTCTTCGTCGACGTGAAGCTCTCGTCGGCGAGCTTCGGGGACGCTCTGGCGAGCAGGTCTTCGCTTCGTCGTCCGGGCGACAAGGCTTCTGTCTCTTGCTGAGACGATGCTTGGTCAGAGGGCGATGGCAGCCAGGCGGCGTGGAACGCGTCTGTCGGACCGTCCGCGACAAAGCCTGCGCTTCCGCCTGCAACTCGGTGGCCACGGTCATCCAAGTAATTGGCGCCTTTTCTCGATCGAATCTTGAGTGAAGCCCACCAACCCATCTTGCCGTCGCTGCCATCCACGCCGCGACCGGATGTTTTGGCAGCCTCACCACCGCCGAGGCCGGTGCGACGAGGCAGCGTGGCCGAGGGGCGAGAGTCCAGGCGCGGTCTGGATAAGAGATGGAGCTCTTTCAGCCGAGCTCGGAGCGATCGATTCTGTTGTCGCGCTGGCGAAGCAGCAGCGAGAGGGGCAGCGTGCAGCTTGCCAGAGGCCTGGCCTCGCTGGTGCCCGAGGGCCTGTCCAACATTGGATCCGTCGCTCCCATCGATGCTGCCGGCCTCAGGCACGGAGAGCGAGTCAAGCGACTTTTCAGCCTTTCGGGGCCTGCCGACGCTAGGCTCGGCGACTGCGCGGTTGTTGGCCGTGCCCTTTGCCAGGGTTGGCACGGGCGAGGATCGAAGGCTCGGACCTTCGAGACAGATCTGCACGGCCCGTTCCAGGACCCTGGCGTCTGGATCTGATTCGCCGCGGTGCAGAATCCTCGACGCGCCGCCGGCAAGGTCGACGGAGTTTTCGCGCGGCGGTGTGAGCGAGATGGTGGGGGTCGGAGGCGTTCTCGCACGAGGATGCTGAACAGCGACAGCGTTTCCCGATGAACGAGTCTTCGAGCCGCCCCTGCCATCGTTGTGCGGCCTCGATGGGGCGGTCTCAGCGGCCGAGTGATCGCCAAAGATGCTTGGCGACAAGGGCCGATGCCGGCGAGCCGGGACGACCTTGGTCTGCTTGACTGCGCCGCAGCTCGCCGTATCCGTCGACGATTGCGAGCGTTCGCAATGAACAGACTGTGACATCGACTTGGCAGCTTCGACCCTGGCCTCGAAGGTCGGCTCGGTCCGCACGCAGGATGCCGATTCGCGCGAATCGCGCATACGCGGCATCTCCGACCAAGTTGCTGCAGTCCTCAGGCGCTGCTGTTGGTTTCCTGGACCCGCGGTGAGTGGCGATGGGGCGGGTGGGCACATGTGCAAGTGAATCTCGTCCGTGGTCGTGTCGCCTCTTGCATCTCTCATCAATCTCCTCGACGGCGTGCTGCAGCGCGGGGTAAAGAAAACCGTGCCAGTCAGATGGACGGACCACAAGCAGCGCCAGCAGCCTCGCGGTCTCACAGCCACTCACAAGAATCTCTTGACGGCCGATGCTCCGGCAGGAGCGTCGAGATAGTCGTTGATGTCGGCGTCGATGCCGACCCTGCCTCTGACCGACGACGGTGTGCCGGCAGATGAGCCAGGCGGCAGCAGCGTGGAAGTCTTGTCTCTGAGCTTCTCCTTTCTGGTCCTGGCACCCCAGACGAAGCCGAACGAGGCGAAGCTGCTCTTGGGCACGAGGCGAGCGGCGGCCTGCTCGTGCTGGGGTTCCTGCTTGCCGTTGGTCAGGCTCGTCTTTCGGTCGCGCAGCCTCGTCTTGCTCTTGCGCGAACGATGGTCGGGCGACATGCTGAACTTGCTCTTGAGCTGTGAAGCAGACTCGGTCCGAAGCCTGGTGCGTCGGGGAGTGTCGACTTGACGGTCCTGGGGAGCCTCGAGGAGTTGTTCGCAGTGCCTTCGCTCAGCAGAATTTGCTTGGTGGAGCTTCCCTTCGACCGACACGTCCCCGGTCCGCCTGGGCTGCGCGGCGGCGACGCCAGTGGTGCCGTTGAGAAAGACGGGGTCAGAGATGCGCTTCCCGTTGAAGAAGACGTGGTTTGGACTGCTCACGCCGCTCGACGGGCGGCTGGAGCCGGTGGTGCTTGTGCGTGCCTTGCTCGTGACGGACGTCGAGTCTGGCGAAGACGAGGAGCCGACCATTGTCTCAATCCGAGACGGGTCCAGGTCACCGAGACGTCGAGGACGATACGGCCAAGTGCGGTGCTGCGATGGGGGACGATTCCGTGGTCGTCTTTGAGAGGTGTCGTGATGCAGGTCGTTATCCGTGCGAGCCGTCGGTGCCGTGAGCAGTATATGTCTCGACGGGGCGGATGGCCAGTCGTGCGCTTCGTAAGAGGGTTCGTCAAGGGCGTTGCTGCACAGAGCTAGGATCAGGAGGAGAAGAAGACGGGAGCAGATCCTCGAGGGACGAGGTTGAGGCTCCCGAAGGAGGAGGAAGGCTGCGCTGAGAAGGCCAATTTGCTCAAGGTTCTGTGGCGCTCCGGGATGAAGCGCAGAGGTGCCAGCCGGTCCGCCCGACCGCCCAAGCCTACAAGTGTAGCACTGCCCTTCTCGTTTGCCCGTCATATGCTCTCTGTTGTGATCACGGTGGGAAGAGCCTTATGATCAAATGTGACGATGCCAACGAAGCGCAGCGCCATTGTAACACAAAGGACGAGCCGGGGCTACTCACAAGCTATCAGGACGGTGCGCAGGAGGAATGCGGACCGTTGGCGGCGAGATGAAGCCCGCTCGCCGCTCGAAAGGTCGCCGCTCGGGAGCAGCAGCAGCCATGCATCGGAAATGCTGGCCAGATCTCGCTCGACGCTCCATTGCTCCGGGTCCTCGGCATCGAGGTCGAGACAGCGACCGGCGGCGGGAGAGCACCCGTCGCGATGGCGCGGACGCCGTGAGATCGTTGGCAGTCACTGACGGACAGAATCTGACGAAGCCGATGCCGCCATGACTCGTCAGCTTTCGCCTCGGCCTGTCGCGAGTCCCTGCTTCATCTGCATCCGGTACCGAAGGGACGACCGCTGCCGGGACATGTGCATGTGTATTCGTGTGCATTGTGTCGGCGGGGCGTCGGGCATGGCCGGCGGCTCACTGTTGCTGGTGGGCCGACCTTATTGAACGCCCGCAGAACCCTGCCTGCCGGCCTGATGATGATCGCGGCGACGAAGGCAAGTCCGGGATGGCGGACAAGCAAGGGGATGGCGACGATGGCTCGAGTTCGGTGACTGGAGCAATGATGGACGTCGCCGGGACCCGGGGCTGCGATACCGGGCAAAAGCCGGAACGGCTCGAGCCGAATCGGAGAGGCCGATGAGGCCTAGGGAAGCGACGGCCTCCTGCCGGTAGGCCAGGCCACGCCAGGACCAGGCGTGGCCAGGCGAGGAATCGCGGCAACTCCTCTTCTTGCAGGCCATCGGGCTCTGCCCTAGCCTCGCTCGTTGGTTGGCGTCGTCCGACTGCAGATAGACCTAGACGATGCGAAGCCGTGGAACCGTGCGCGATTCCTCTCTCGTCTACACACACGCCTGCCTGCCTGTGCCTGCCTTTGTCCCGACAACCGGCGGAGCGTTTGAAAACGGGGCGACGCCTGCTCAACCTCTTTGAGCCGGCCGATCCTGCTGGGCGGTGGTGCTGTATGTGCATGCGGCGAGAAAGATGCATCCCCCGAAGCATGCGCCATTTGATCTGGTACGCCGCAGTCCTCCCTCTTGCTCGAGCCGCTCTTTGCAGCCCCGTCGGTCGTCGGGCACGATAGACGTACGGCGGTAGAAGAGCGCAGCGACGATGCTGCGACTAGTTACTCCCTTTGAGCAAATTTATTTGCTCGCTGGTGGGTGGGGGCCGACCGCTCGCCGAATCGCAGGCCTCCACCGCGGCGGCGCCGTCGCCTGCTGTCTCTTGCCTCGTTGCCTCTCGACTCGGTGTGGTTTCCGCGCGTGTGCCTGGCCTGCAGCGTGGCGCTCGACCTAGCCTGCTGCCTGCCACGCCGACCTTAGGCTCGCTCGCCTGCCACGCCGTTTGGCCTGCCTGCCTAGCCCAGGCCGGTCCCCCGCCAGCCGCCGCCGCCGCGCTGCACGGCGACAGACAGGCCGCACGCCGCAGGCTAACGTACTACGCTCGCGCCATCCAGAGGCCGAGGAAGAGAGAGAGAGAGAAAGGGCCCGGCCTCGTGCCTCGCTCCTCATCATCATCACCGACGCTCATCACCTCGCCATCATCGATCGCTCATACCCGCTCCTAGCACATCGCACCCACCACCATCGTCGGCGCACCGAGCACCAGAGTACCAAGCGGCGGCCTTTGGACTGCAGCTCCGTGCAGCATCACCCACCGGCCCAACGCATTTGCCACCGCCGTTGCACACACCTGGCGCTCGACTAGCCAAGAGGTCGTCCAGCTCAGCCGGCGGCTCACCCACATACACGCGCCCCCTCGGCACCCGCCACCGGACATTGGCCGCTGCGCTCTCGTTTGTGCCGCACCGCACCACACTCTACCCTAGACTCTAACATTATTGCATACGCACCCATCGACGATAGCGCCGGCGAGGCCGCAACCCAAGCCCCGTCCGCATCCCCACCTCGGATCGACCGGAACCGGAACGACGCCGAGCCATCGGCACCTCCACCGCCAGCACGACGGTCGCGGCGCCCCGGTGCCTCGTGGACGTGCGCACCGTCATCACGGCCTCGCTGGGCACACACGGCGCAGCTCGAGACTCGCCGTTCCACGCCTGGGGGCGTTGAAGGTCGGAAGGACAAAGCAAGCAAGCAAGCAAGCCAAGGTGATCTTTGTACGGAAGTGCGAGCCAGGCTACGATCGATAGGCCGCGTGCCACCCGCCTCCGCCCCCCGACGTCCGGGCTGCAACGGGCGCAGTCCTTCGGCCGCCCCGACACTAGCGCCGGTCCACGCCGCCGCCTCTGTTCGACGCGTACTCGCACGCCTCTTCTAGATCCCGCCTCGCTGGCGAGTGCATCTCTTGCTCCTGGTGCGCAGAGCATGCACATGCATCCTTCACGATCATCATCGGCACACCCTTGTCCCTGAAGCGCCAGCCGGCAGAGAGAGAGGGAGCAGTAGTCAAACAGAGCAAGGCCGCCAAGACACGAAGACCGGCGCAGGCACCGCTGTTGCACCGTGGTACCAGTCAGCTGGTTCGACGTCCCCTGCTGCCATTGACCCCGGCGAGGCTTGCGCCGTTGCACGACTGCAAAGCGGAAGCTCGACGCTAGGAGGTCAGGCCTCGGTTCAGCACACGCGTACGCACCGAGCGACGGACTACGACTACTACGCTAGGTGCCTCAAGCTCCAACGGTGAGCGAGCCAAGAGCGACCACCATGGGAGGCCTCAGTCAGGATGAAGGTGAGCAGGGACAGATCAGTGACAGCATGGCGGCCTACGCGGGAGGGCGCCGAGCTTGCGAATGGACCACCGCGCTGGTGTGCGCCCCCTGGCTGCCTGCCTCAGCCTTCGCTGCATGGACCCCGGGAACACAGACTCACGCACCCATTCATCTATCTGTCTGCATCGCTGCACGCTCGGACCCTTCCATCTCCACAACCTGCGCCCGGCGCCCCCTTTCCGACGCCCTCGTGCAGCAGGCCATCTGCCTTCGACGCTGCTCTCAGCTGGCGCACAGGGGACCTTTCCACGATCCGCTCACCTCGTCCTGTCCCGGAGGTGAGTTCCTCGGCCAGCATGCGCCCCTCTCTGCGCCAGCGGCACCTTAAAGCATCAGCTTGTCTCCGCCAGATGAAGTCCATACACGCCCCTCGTCCCAACCCGGCTCACGACCCTCCTCGTCCCTCTTCCTTTCATACGTACCGGACTCCGCACCTCTCGCGCCTCGTCCACTCACCGAGCAGAGCTCGTCAGATCCAGGCCGACGAAGGCATCCTGCCATCGCCAGTCAACCGGCCCAAGGTGCCTGATCACCGCGACGCCAGTGTATCGAGAGCTTTCGACAGCGCCAGGACCAACCGGGGCAGAGCCAGAGCGGGCACCCTACCATCAAGCTGGGGCGACCTACCGGCACCTTCGCTGACCGCCGAATCCGTCTTCGCACCGGCCGAGAGCGGTCGCTTTGGCGCCCAGACCGGCGTTGCCTCTGGCCTGGTCCAGTATCCTCAGAGCAGGCTGGCCCTGCACCAACACCAACCCGCCTTCGCCGACCCGAAGGGCGCCTTTGATACGGCACAGACCAACAACCGGATACGCTCGGGATCCCTCACCCTGCCAGACGACGGGTTCGGCAACGCTTTCGGCCCTTCCATCTTTTCGACCTGGCAGCCGTCGCGCTCGGGTCTAAGCAGCCTTGCCATGGCGGCAGACAACGGCCTCGGTCCGCACCTCGACGGTGGCGAAGACGACTACGCGAGCAGGGACACGTTTGACGAATCTAGCACGCTCGACTACCTCGGCCTAGCCGACGGCCATCCTCGGCAGTCGGACGCCGGCAGTGCCAGCCTTCGCCATCGAGCGTCGACGCTGGCTTCTTCCGCTGCGCGACCACGGCTCAGCGACGCCAACGGACGGGCCCGCAGCAGCAGCTTCCTGCCGGGCTTCAACTTCGAGCATGTCCAAGAGCGCGACGAGTCGGTCGATCAGGCCCCGAGCCAGCCCAGTGCAACCTTCGCCGCTTCGCCGATACATGACCGCTTCGGCTCGTTTGGCGGCAGCCTCTCTCCCGATGTCGCTCCTACTCAGGGCCTTTCGTCCGGCTTCGGCGCAAGACCGAGGGCCACCAGCATGGGCGGTCTCGATGGGACCAACACCGTCAACGTGGGCCCCTCGCCACCAGGCTCAGCGACGCTGGCATTTGAGATCGACGAAGATGCCATCCGCCGGTATGCCGTCGAGCAGAACATCGATCCCAATGACTTCGTCACCTTCGCGCAGACAAAGGCGCTGCGCGCCTCTTTTTCACACGGCCCGCCTGCTCCGATGGTCTCCCAGCTCGCCGGTCGGCACCGAGCCGGCACTATTGCGGCCCTGAGCGGTCCCGGTGGCCGCCAGAGAACGGAGCAGGAGTTGACACGGATGTTGACCTTGTCGCCCAACGCTGGCCACCATCGCAATGCCCGGCCGCAGGGACTCGGCGGCTACTTGGACGCCACGGTCAACCTCGACAGCGCAAGCGCTCGCGGCCACAGCGCCTCGGCTTCTGCCACTACGACTCCCAACACTCCCAACGGTCAGGCTGGCCATCCGCCGAGCCGGAGCCTGTACATCGGACAACTCAGCCCGTCCACCACCGGCCAGGACTTCATGCAGGCGTTTGCTCCGTACGGCGCCATCGACACGCTGCGGCTTCTGCCGGAAAAGGAGTGCGGCTTCATCAACTTTGTCGACATGCAAGACGCCATCAGCGCAAGAGACGACATCATGAACCGTCTCGGCGGCAAGATTGGACTCAGGACCACTTCTGCAGATGGCGCGATCCGTATCGGCTTTGGCAAGGTTGAGGCCATCCCGCAGACTGGCGGCTCTGGCCTGCATGGCGGAAGCGGCACACCTAGCCGAGACTATCCGTCACCGAGGCCGGATCAGTCCGGCGGAGACGCGCCGTTTGCCTCTGCAGCCGACGGCATCAACGATCAACCGACGCGGGCTCTCTGGGTCGGCTCGATTCCTGCGAGCACTCCCCTCAGCGATCTTCTACAAGTCTTTGCTCCATTCGGGCCGATCGAGAGCGTGCGCGTCCTCGGCAGCAAGAATTGCGGCTTCATCAACTTTGAGAGGGTCGACGACGCCGTGAGAGCTCGCAAGGCGCTGCACGGCAGAGACATCCTCGGCGCCAAAGTCGGCGGAGTCAGGATCGGCTATGCCAAGGTGCCATCCTCGATCGGGCAGGAGAGCAACGGCTACCCAAGCGATGCCTCGGCCCCGGACTTTTGCGCCGCCGTCGAGGCCCTTTCCGATCTGCAAGGCGCTTCGGCTGTCCCTGTCGACCAGCAGCTGGCCGGCGGCAACATGGAAGAGTATCGGAGCAATCTCGTCCTGGGCCTCCTCGAGAAGCAGAGGACGTTGCGATCCATCACGCCGCCACAAGCTGCGATCCGCAAGTCGGTCTCGAGCCCGTCGACGGGCCGCATCGGCTCCTTTCCGACGCACAGCTCTTCCAACAGCATCGTGCCTAGCAGTGACAAGGGCGGAGTTCCCCTGCCTGCCGACATGAAGCCGCAGCCCAGCACCACCGACTGGCAGCTCATCATACGACACCTCGACGAGCAGGATCCCGAGGTGGCGGAGCACATCGAGGCGGTCGCGCAACCTAGAAGTCTTGCAACCTACTACACAAAGATTCCGCTGGTCTCTGACACCGCAAACGGTCGCAAGTTCGACACTTCCAAGCTTAGAGAGCTTCGCAAGAGCATCGAAGCGAGCAGCTGCACCCAGAGCGACATCGACCGGACCGCGCGCGATTTCCTGCCCGACATCGTCGACCTCTCGAGCGACTTCATCGGCAACACGTTGGTCCAGAAGTTCTTCGACCGATGCAGCGAGGCTCTCAAGGTCTCGATGCTCGAAAGCATCGCACCGCACCTCGCCAAGATCGGCATCCACAAGAACGGCACCTGGGCCGCCCAGAAGATTATCGACCGCGCCACCACCGACGAGCAGCGATCCATGATCGCCGAGCACCTCCGTCCCTACGTGCCGCCGCTGTTGACCGACCAGTTCGGCAACTACGTGGTGCAGAAGGTGATTCCCTTCGGATCACCCCACTCTGACTTCATCTTTGATGCCATGGTGGATCGGTGCTGGGAGGTGGCGCAGGGCCGATTTGGCGCGCGCAGCATGCGGGCCGTGCTTGAGTCGTCGCAGGCTTCCAAGCTGCAGCAGAAAAGGGTCGCCGCCGCCATCGTCCTCAACTCCGTCCCGCTCGCCACCAGTCAGAATGGGGCGCTGCTGATGACCTGGCTGCTCGATTCCACCAGCTTCCCTGGGCGCTTCGGCCTGCTGACACCCAGATTCACGCCCCACCTCGTCCACCTCTGCACCCACAAGCTTGCGTCCCTCACGCTGCTGCGCATCATCACGCAAACCGTCGACCCTGAGGCCTCGCGGCGGGTGTTGTCAGCGCTGCTCGACGCGGACAAGCCGCACATCCTCGAGGAGATCGTCACAAACCAGCTGCATGGCTCGCAATTTGTCTTCAGGCTGCTCGCATCCAATGCGCTCGATGCACAGACTCGGGCAGTCTGCGCAGGTCGCGTCACCGAGCTGCTCGTCCGACACAGGCTCCTCGACGCACCGCCGTACAGACCTCTGGTCGAGAACCTCGGCCTCGCGGCAGCCCGTCCTCCGCCACCTCCGACAGGCCCGTTTATGCCTGCACCCGCGCTTGCACCGCCGACCTCCGCACTGCCGTATGGGCAAGCAGCGTTACCGCGAGCACACTCGCAGCCCTTTGGGGACGAGACGGAGGCCGCTTCGGTGTTTGCACCGAATGGCGTCAAGGACCTCACTAGCGCCATGGCGCAGGCGTCGTTGCAGGGCACGCTCCCGCCCTCGGACTTGCGAGGTCCTAGAGCGGGCAGACCTCTGCGGCCTTCCTTGTTCCCCGGAATCACCGAAGGCGGCGGCGGTGGTGGTGGTGGTGGTTTCGACTTTGCCGAGCGCGGTGGGCGGGGTGTAGACGGACGACGGTCTCAAAGCTACCAGTCCAACGCAGGCCTGCGGTCGCCCACGATGGACGCCTTCAATCCCTGGGCGCGGGCCAATGCCGTCGGCTCGCCCGACCGAGCTCCTCCGGCCCTCGTCCAGCCGCACCTGATGCCGGGCGGCGATGCTCAGCATCTCTTTCTGAACAACGGCAGTCGCGAGATGTCGCCCTACATCAACCTCAAGGCCCCGTCGTACAGCCCCAAGAGCGACGCATTCACGCCTGATCCTGCCTACGGCAGTCTTCTGCAACGCTCTGCGCCGGCATACGGTTTCTCTCTGCATCACCAGCATCAGCACCACCAACGCTCGCCTCCGGACAGAGCCGCGCATCCGTATTGATATTCCCATGCCGTGATCTTCTAGACGTCACCAACCCCCCTCGAGCGGACACTCATCGTGAGCCCTGTAGATCGATCGTTGCGCCTCTCTCTGTGTCTCTCCGCTTCTCCATCCTTCTCTCTCCATCTCTATCTCCGCAGCTCTCCTGTTCCTGCATCCCATTCACGGTCACTTGCCATTGCCACATAAACAACAAGATTCGCCGCGTTCCCTCACCATCGTCCCTTTCACCGACTTTTTCGTCGATCCAGGGCGATCCGAGCTACGACTCCGCTCCCGCACACCCTCGTTATTTGGCGCGCCAGATAGTATCGGTCGCCGTCGTCGCCGCGGTGGTGGCACGTAGATTGATAGCAGAAGTTCGCAGGGCAAAGAAAGGGTTTCCCGGACTCGATGCTACCCGGTCATTCCATCTCAGTGCCGCCGCATCCCTCTGTCGCCGCTGCGCGTCAGATGCAGAGCCGGCTTGGTGGCGAGCGAATCGTCTCTGGAGCTCTCTCGTTTCTACGTGATGCATGGGTCGGTCTGCGTCGCGATCAAGAAAAGGTGCCGTCAATCGAATCGGACGTCGGCCTGTGCAGGGAGGCATGAGCGGATGCTGGGTATCGATGAGTCTGTACACATCTGGCGGGAGAAGAAAGCAAGACAAAGCGACCGCCCATCTCTATCGACCATTGATGTCGGGATCGATGAAGCGGGTGGTGCACGCCACCCTGAATCCTCCAGGTTCGACGGCATGTTCGAAGCGCTTCTGCAGTTCCGCGCCCTCCTGCACGCACACGCTGCCATGGCGCAGACGGAGCGTGAGCACGGTGCGGTCGCGGTTGAGCGTCTGCATCTCCTGCCTCATGGCCCGCGCCGCCGCCTGCTCCCTGCTCCCCCGACCCCCCGACAATGACGACGGAGAGTCGAGGAGCAACTTGGCCTTGACGCGGAACTTCATCGTCGCCTCGGCTCCCAGCGAGAGCGACGAGACGATTGGGCCCAGTCCCGGCTCGCCGTCGTCATGGAACGACATCGACTGGAAGGGCAGGTAGAGGCACCCGTACGCCTCGTTGAAGCCGCGCTGCATCGCCTCGGATGTCGACGAACTGCGATGCACCCCCTCGTCGTCCAGAGGGCAGACGGCGGCGGTGCGTGCGCGGATCAGCGACATGGACGACGTGACGCATCGCGGCGTGGTGGCGTCGATCGGGTTGGTCCCCATCGCCACGGCGTGCTTGTAGGCCATGCCGTAGTTGACGGTGAACTGCTGCGTCAGCATCGCGCCCTTGAGCGAAGAGGACCGCAGCGGATGCCGCCGGAAGGGCACGAGCGTCGACCGCCCCGACTCCTGGTCGTCCGTGATAAAGCCGATGTCCATCTTGCTGCCGCTGGCCCTCTTCCTCTTCTTGCCCTTCTTCTTCTTTTTCCGGCTCTCGTCTGGGTCCTCCTGCGGCCAAGAGCCCTGCTGGAATCCCGCAAAGATCCGATCGGCCGTATCCTCGGTCGCGCCGTGTTCGACATCGGCCTGGACGAGGTGGACGGCGCATCCGCCCATTCGCTTGGGAAAGTTGAACGAGTAGGCGACGAGACCGCCCTCGCGCTTGACGTGCGTGACGATGCCAGAGACGGGCGAGACGATGGCTACGTCGGCGTCGGCGTGCAGAGACAGCTTTGGCGCCGGTACCAGAGGCAAACCCTTCTTTGGTCCGACCTGGCTGTCGCAGTGCGGGCACCGAGGACGGTTGATGACGGCGCGACAGCTGAGGCGACCGCACTTTGAGCACCACAGACCCCGGGCTTGGTCGAGGCTAGTACCGAGAGGGGCTTCGGGTACAAGGGACCAGGGCTCGCGACCGTTGGGAAAGCCGCCATGAGCCTTGTCGCCGCGCACTTTGAGGAAATCGTCTGAAAAGCGCAGAGGACCCGGCGACCGCCTCGAAAAGAAGCGAGGACACTTTGGCGCCAGGCACATCCAACCGTCGTCGAAGACTATCGGCGATGCACGCTGACAGTGGGTGCAGACGGGATGGCTCGCGCTGAAGGCATCCTCCGTGCTCACCGAGGATCGCAGCGCTACCGTCGATTTCATTGGTCCTCTGCAGATGATGGCGAAGAAGATCAGCCGCTGGTCAGCGAGAGTGATTCGAGATCAACCGGATATCCGGGCCAGGGACGTACCTTCTCAGTCGCTTCCGCGGTCGCTCTACGCCCTCGTCGAATGCCTTCGCGGTGTCTCCGAGGGTCACCTTGAGCCTTCGGCTCGCCTTCTGATAATGTGGTGCCAGGGCGGGCAGATCGCGCTCCGCCTTGGTGAATCGCTCCTTCCGCTGGCGAGGGTTCCAAGTGGCGCTTCTGTGCAGCTCCGGCCCGAGACACCACCATGGCTCCCCTTGTGCCTGGATCCACTCGAAGCGGAACTTCCACCGCACGAAGCTCTTGCCGCCCAGGAGGTCGTCGTCCTCCTCTTTCTCTGCCCATCCATCCGTGATGATGTACCTGGGGAGAGAGGTCGCGGTCCGACGATGTCAGTGCCGGTGTGAGCCTGCTGCCCATTGTCGCCCTGCTTCTGAAAGCACTTACCAGCCAAGCACGGCAAAGCTACAGTTGAGCTTCATCGGCAGCAGGGCATAGTTCTCTGCCGCGATGAGAACGAGAGGCACCTTCATCCTCATGGTCTGGATGAGCGAGGCAATGACCGAGTCGTCCTCCTCCTGATCGCCCTTGAGCTGGAGCTTGCTGGACGACGAGGCCGCGGGACGCGAACTATCCTCGTCGACGCCGCCAGCGGTGTGATCGTCTACGTTTGCGCTCTTGCCGCCGCCGTGAGAGATGATGACGCGGCCGTCGCTGGCCCAAATGTCGCGGCGAGAGGGGCAGCCACCGAGGAGGTAGCCGACTACAAACGAATCGCGCACCACGAGCGCATCGTCCCTCTTGAAGCTTGGGCGGCTACCCACACTGATGCCCTTCACGTAGGAGCCGGACTGGTAGGCGCGATAGTACGGCAGGCTCTCGCAGAGCTCTTGGCGGGTCTGAGCAGGGGCGAGGCCGAGGAAGAAGCAGGAGTCCAGCGATCAACCGTCTGCCGGCGACGTCGCGGATGAGCCGGTAATGACTACCGGCAGGCAGACGGCCATCTCACCTCTGACCAGACAAAGGGCGCGTTCGACGGGCCCGAAGCGAGCTCCGAAACCGAGGTGGCATCGGTCTCGGCCGACGAGGGGGATCCTTCGCTAGTGCTTCGGGTCGAGCCGGTGGTTGTTGGTGACGACGCAGAAGAGTGACAGCTGGCAGGCGAATTGGTGCGCCGCTGGCCTGGGGACTCTGCAGCTGAAACCGTAGGCGGAACGAGACCATCGAGTGTGGCCACGGCGGCGGCGCTCATCTTCTCGGTAGGACTGGACATGGCGGTGGCACAACGAGCCAGTCGAGAGCCATAACGAAGCAGCGAAGGGGGCGGAGGTGGCAGGCGAGGAAAGCACTTGCGTGGGCTATGGATAGACGCAGTGAGCGGCTCGCTGCGGAAAGGTGTGCACACAAAGCCCAGTGGGTGGTCCGAAACGAGGAGGCAGGGGAGTCTCAAGCCGAAAGCATGCTGGCAAGCCGTTAAAACTGGGGGGTCCAGCCATCGGAAGCGCCGGGCGGGCGGGGTGGTTTTCTTCGCATGACTCTCCCCGGCCTAAGTTACCTGCCTGCCCAGCTGCAAGCACGCCTGCCTCCTGCCTTTTTTGTTTGGAGCTAGGCAAGGCGCCTGATGAAGCACGCAGGCAGGGCCAAGCCGGCTGCCCTTCCGAAGCCAGCCAGGCCCGCGGCGCACGGGCTAAGCTGCACGCACCCAGCGGCCACCGACCAACCTGCCGCCTCTCTTTCGATCTGCGCCTTGGCCTCCACATCGCGCCGGTCCAAGCGCTCTCTGGCCAGCCAGGCCTCGCAGCCGCACACATCTCGTTGGCTCCTGCCACCATCACCTTCCCCCCCCCCTCCATCGGCACCGTCCCGACACCCTGAATCCGACATGGCATCGACAGGCGGCGGCTTCCTTATCGACGACTTCTCGTCGATACTGCCCGATGCGCCTGCGGACGCCGCAGCATCCGAGCAGCACGCCGACGAGTCGGTCCAGGCATCGACCTTTGTCCCGCAGCCCCTCTCGGCCAAGCAGGAAGCCCGTCTGCGCTCCTACCTCGACAACTCGCTCCTCGTTATCTCGCGCGGCTACCGAAAGCGATTCGATCCGTCTTCTCCTCTGCCATCCCTCATCCCCTTCTGGCAGCAGTGGAACGTCATCCTCGGTGTCCTGGCCCGCGTGCCGCCGTATGGCAGCGGCGGCACTAATCTCCTCGTCTCGTACCTGCTCAGGTGCACCTCGGACATCTGCGATGGCATCGCCGGCTACGGCCTAGGGATGGAGATAGAGCGGGCGAGAAGAGAAAGCAGGCAAAAGGGCGACCAGGCACCCTCCAAAGCCCGGGACGAAGCCGCAGATGCGTACAGCGACCGACCAGGAGCAGAGGATGGCGAGGATGGCGAGGACCAGCACGAAGATGAGGAGCAAAGGCGCCGTCAAGAGATCGCGCTCCGCAACAAGCAGCTCAACCTCGTCCTCGAGGCCACCAGCCTGCTTGATCGGATGTGGACCGCCATCCTGCGCGGCTACATGATAAACTTCCCCGTGGCTCTCAAGCGCGCTCGAGAGGCTTTCTCTGACGCAGACGATTCGAGCAATCCGACGGAGCAGGGACGCAACGGCAAAGCATCCCTTCGCTCGACAGTCCCTGGTATCGGCCGATTCACCTCGAGCCTCGTGCCCTCTCCTGCAGTCGACGGCCGCTTCCTATCCACGCCTCATAGCAGTGCCCTGGGCTCTGAGCGGGAGAGCCTGCCGATCCAGGGCGGCAAAGGCATCCGCACCGTCGGCCAGACGGACCGCGTGCGGCTGCGCAACATTGCCGTGCTGGCGCGTGAGAAGCTGTTCGCCTGGATGCGAGAGGAGCTCAACGCACCGCTGCCGCCAACGATGGACGAGGACGAGGAGGACGACGGACAGGCGACTGCCGGGGACATCGTGCCAGGCGTCGTGGCCGACCAGTTGGACGAGGAGAACGATGGTGAGGAGCAGCGAGAGATGGAGGCGGACGAGGACCTCGAGGGCGAGATGGAAGACGTGCCCATCGGTGACGCGCAGGCCGATCCACCACCCGCAATCGAGCCGGAAGGGGAAACTTATGATCCTCAGGAGGACACGGCAGAGCATCGCCATTTCCAGGAGCTGTTCGATCGCAAGGTGGGTGGTCATCTTGCGGCGATCGTCATGGCCCGGTGCTGCCTGCTGACGGCACTTTCGCTATGCCGACCCAACAGATCGATCCGGATGCCGACGAGAGTGACGAGGCTCCTGACGAACGCGAGTCGTCGCCACTGCGCGACCCGTCGCCGGTCGATTCTCGTTCCACGAAGCGACCGCACTCTCCCAATCCTGCGTCGCCCTCACAGCCATCGACGTCGACTCCAACGACGACGGAACCGCCGCGCAAAGCCGCGCGGGCGGCTCAGCAGACCTCTGCCTCGGCGCATCGTCCACACCGACCGACGCAGTCCGAGACGGCATCGGCCGACGTCGACCTGTATTCCGACTCGGTGGTCCAGTGGGACCTTGCCTTCACCCGCATCTTTAGCCGGACGCTCAAGACGCTCAGCGATCTCGCCGAGTCTGCTGGCGGCAGTGCGGATCCCGCTCGCAAGGCAGGGTCAGGTGGAATCGGGCTGCGAGGTGGAGAGATGGAGGACGGTGACGGTGACGCGGACGCATAGTGCAGGCCGAAGACAGACCTGCGAGCTCCCGTTTCGAGATCCAGACTGCAACATCGTCGAAGCGCATGCCATTACGAGGAATAGTGCGCGCTCCAGCATCTGTCTCCGACACGGATCGGCTGAGGGAACGTCTCAGAAGAGCCGTGCTCAGTAGGCATACTTCTTTCTCGCCATCCTCTGGACATAGGCCGGGCTGACGGACGCAAGAAACGAGGGGCGCACGACGCGGGCGTCTCAGTACGAATGCTCGCGGCTGCACAAGGTGACGGACGAGACTGACTCACTAGACCTTGTCAATCCAGGTGGCGGCCTCGTAGAGGGCGGGCATAGTGACGGTGCCGGTGGCGTACCGGTCGACCTTGAAGATGGTCTTGTCCGCTACGTCCTTGGCGCTGAGCATCTTTTCGCCCTTGACCCAGGCGAGGTCCTCGGGCATGTCGGTGCCGCCCTTTGTGCCGTCCGAGGTCGACGGGGCCAGATCGACGGCCGAGTGTCGGAACGAGCTCGAGATGGTTCCCGGGCAGATGGCGAGGAAGTTGACTTTGCGCCTGCCCTTACCGCCCTCGGCGGCAGCGGCAGGGTGCGAGGCGTGGGCGAGGCACTCGATGGCAAAGGAGCGGAAGAGGGCGAGTTGTCCGGCCTTTGTCGACGCGTAGATCGAGCGCGTCGGGGCTGGGACGAGGGCGGCTGCGGAACAGGTGAGGGCGATGGCCGGATGGGACGAGGTAGTCTGCAGCATCGGGGTGAAGGCGGCCAGGCAGATGGCCGTGCCCACGACGTTGACGTGCGATGCTTTTGAGACGGCGGCGGCGACGGCTTCCAGGCCGACCCGGTCCGGGTTGACCGACCTGCTGACCGCTTCGCCCCCTGCCTTTGAGGGGCGGATGGGGTCGACGCCCGCCACACCGAGGAGGGGCAGCAGTGCCGAAACGCCGAAGCAGATGTGGAGCGTGTCCAGACCCTTTAGGTTTGCGGCGACGTACTTGCGGAGGCGGTCGACGTCGTTTGGATCGGTGCAGTCGGCCTTGAAGGTGTGGAAGCGGGTTGCCATGGCCTGTTTTGCCTCTTCTCCGGGCGCCTCCTCGCTCTGCTCCCACTCCTCGCCCTCCTGGGCTTGCAGGATGCACTTTTGCTTGACCCTCTCGAGGCCCTGGTCGTTGCGGGCGACGAGGACGAGGTCGCGGCAGCCTCTGCGTGCGTATTGGAGCGCGAGCGCCTCGCCGACGCTGCTCTCGTTTGATGCACCGAGGATGAGGACTCGTTCCCGGTAGATGGGGATGTTTTGGGTGCGGGGGCGAGAGGAAAAGTGGAAGAGGAAGACGAACGGGATGGTCAGGGCGACAAAAGCGGAGGTGAGTGCGAGGGCGAGCTTGTCGGGCGATGGCGTTTGGACGCCAAAGCGCTGGCAGAGGTCGGTGACGAGGTCCATGGTCCGGAGTGTGGTGAGTTCGGGTGAGAGGGAGTGGTGGTGGTGATGGAGAGGAAGGAGGAAGTAGGCAGGCTGCGGCGGATGGACCGGGGCGTTCGGGGTCTCTCGGCTCCCGTTGAGGTCTGGCCGAGTCCGAAGAACGCAGATCGAGGTGAAAGCGAGCGCTCTCGTCTGGCCAGGCCGCCTCCACTCCACTCTCTCTCAGCCATCAGTTTGGAAAGGCTGACCCGTGCGAGCCAGGCATCAGCTAGGCAACCAGCCCTGGCCAGGCAAAGCCCAAGACCCTTTGCCTGCCTACCCTAGGCTGCTTTTTGGATTTCCCCGCAATTTTGGATTTCAACGGCTGCTGCTGCTCCACGGCTCAGCCGGCTCGGATCAAGCAGCCGAGCGCGCAGCCGGGCCTTGCCTTGGGCCAGGGCAGGCCGGTTGGTGTGGCCTTCCCCTCACCTGGCATCGAGGCGCTCCTCACTCCCGCACCACCACGACTTCGCGGACCGCCCCGCCACCCTACCCCACCTTGTCACACAGCCAAGCAACCAACCCAAACCACACGTCTACACGCCACCATGCGAGCAGAGGAGGGCTTCCAGTTCCAGCCCTTCCGCGTGGGCAACCCCTGGGGCGAGGACGCCGCGCTCCGCCTCACCATCCTCCGCCTCATGCTCACAAACGGCCTCGACGCACCCACCGTCTCGCGCCTCTTTGAAAGCCTCCACTCCTTCGGTGCCAGGTGCGCCGGGCCGTACGCCGACATCGCAGCCACCCTCGACAACCCCACCCAGGAACCCACGTTGGTCCAGTACGACGCTTGGGGCAGGCGTGTAGACCGCCTCGTCACTGGCCAGGGATGGCAGCGCCTCAAGGCCGTCGCCGCTGCAGAAGGCATCGTCGCAGAGAGCTACGACACCGAGAATGCCCGCCAGGGACAGGGCAGAGCACGCCTGGGCCAGTTGTACGTGCTGCCAACGACCAGGCTCGCAGCGAACGCACTTCACGCTGACACGACGTCCTCTCCTTCTCCATCTCTCCCCCTCTCTCAGCGCCCGCCTCTTTGCCTTCGCGCGCATCGTCATGTTCGGCCCCGTCAGCAAGGTCGTCCTCTGCCCCGTCAGTATGAGCGACGGTGCGGTCCGCGTGCTCGAGCTCCACGGCACTCCAGCCCAACGCGCCTTCATCCCGCGCCTCTGCTCCATCGACCCGCACCTCAACTACACGGCAGGCCAGTGGATGACTGAGCGACCAGGTGGATCAGACGTCTCTCGTACAGAGACCGTCGCCCGGCCCCTCGACCCTCACAACACGGCCCCCAAGAAGGGCGACAAGTTTGTCATTGACGGCTTCAAGTGGTTCAGCAGCGCCACCGACGGCGACATCGCCCTCGCCCTGGCTCGCACCGACCCCGACGTGTCCAAGGGCACGCGTGGCATGTCGCTCTTCCTGATCAAGATCCGCGACGACGAGACGGGCAAGCTCAATGGCATCCGCGTCCACCGGCTCAAGCGCAAGCTCGGCACAAAGTACCTCCCTACCGCTGAGCTCGAGCTCAACGGCTGCATCGGCGAGTTGGTGGGCGAGCTGGGGCGCGGCGTCGCCACCATCTCGTCGGTGCTCAACATCACCCGTCTCTACTCGGCCTCGGGCGCCGTGGGTGGCCTCTCCTGGGGCCTTCGCAGCGCTACGGCCTACGCCCAGACAAGACCGGCGCTGGGTGGCAGTCAGCTCTCGCAGCTCCCGCTCCATACCGACCAGCTGCTCAAGGTCACCGTCCTCTACCGCACCTTCCTGCAGGTCTTCTTCTCCAACGCGCTCTTGATGGGCGCCTCCGAGTCGGGAGAGGCTACGGACCGGCAGAAGATGCGGCTGCGGCTGCTGACGCCCGCGCTCAAGGCGTTTATCGCGACCCGGGCCAGCGAGGCGTACCTCACGCTGATCGAGAGCTTCGGTGGGCAGGGCTACATGGAAGAGGTGGGCATGGGCGAGATGCTGCGCGATCTGACCGTCGAGAGGATCTGGGAAGGCACGCCGGCCGTCCTCTCGCTTGACGTGCTGCGCGTCGTGACGCAGAGCAAGGGCCGTGCGCTGCGGGAATTCCTCGAGGACGCCGTCGCCGCCCTTTCTTCGCTGCCTGCCGGCATCCGACAGCGGTTGAGCAAGGATATCGAGCAGGTCTCGGACGCCGTCGCCAAGACGGCGGGAGTCGTGCAGTCGCTCGATCTGGCGCGGCACATGTCGAGCAACGATCTCCGCTTCACCCGGCCGCTGCTGGACGTCGTCATGGCCATCAACGCTTCGGTGGGGCTGCTCGAGCACGCCGCGTGGCTATCGGAGCCAGCATCGGTCGATCCGCTCGACATTGTTCGGCTGGCACGCCTGGGCGGACGGGACGACCTGTCGGCGCAGGCGGCTCAGCAGGAGGAGATGGCACGGCTGTGGATCAGCGGTGGACACGGCGACCTCGCCAGGCTGCTCGACCAGCTCGCCTCGACGGTCCAGGACGACGCGGGCAAGACGGTCCGGCTGGCCAGTAGCAGCGTGTATTCGTGGGGCGAGCGGGGGAACGCCGATGCCGGTGTTGCTGCTGCAGAGTCCAAGTCGACGTCGACGCCGGCCGCGTCCAGAACGGTGCCTCTGGAACAGGCGGGTGGTGCCTATGCCCTCAAGGCAAAGTCTCGTCTCTGAGCTTCCTTCGCTTCCCTTGCTCCGTCGTGGCTTGCAGACCTGGCTTCCGCCCAGCATGTATCAAGTCTTTGTGCCAATCGAGCGTGTCTGTCTGAACTCTGGCACAGCGTTCGAGGCTGGGCGAGTGGCCCTGAGCGAGGCCTTCGTTTCCCTCTCGCGCCGAGATTGAGTCTGCGAGAGCGTTTGGACCAGCCAGTCGTTGACCTGCGCTGGGAATGGCGATTGGCTCGAGCACACCCTGCCACCTTAGCTTGATGCACCCCGCACTCTGGTTCCAGAGGTTCAGGTTGTGTCGAGTTTCGTAAGCGTCTGAATTTCGATTTTTTCCCAAACTTGGACTTTGGCCAGCAGGTGTTCGTAAAACTCGAAGTCCAGGAAAATTCTAGCGACCAGCAGAAATTGGACTCGGGACGCCGGACATGCCTTTCAGCGGGGATCAGCCCAGGCTCGAGGTCTCGAGTGTCCACTGATTTCTAAAATCACATCCTGAGATTTTTGACGGCAGCAGCAGATTTTGAAGAAATACCGTCGACTCGACTTTCGAACGGCGAGAAGCTTTTTCCAGAGGTGCCAACACTCGAAGTCCCAAGTCCCCTGAAGCGGGCCGACAGAGCCGGCGGCCGACGGTGCAGCAGTGAACAAGGTTGACGTGCATGCGAGCACGAGGGTCCTTTGACCTCTCCGCGCACCCCACACCGCGCGTTGACTATCGTCATTGCTCCTCCTCCTTCTCAATCACCACTTCCCTCGACGCCTCTCTGGAACGGAACCGCACAACCGCCACGGAACCGCACAACCACCACGGGGGGGAACGGCATCAAGATGCGGTGGATCCCCACCCTCTTTGCGGCGAGCGCAGTCGCATGGCAGCAGGTGGGCGCGCTGAGCGTCACGACGCCAAGCCTGACGCAGTGTCGTCTCTCGCAGCTCAGATGGACGGGTGCGCAGGGCCAGATCGATGTCGTCGCCGTGGATGGTGAGTCCCGTCCTGGCCCACCAGGCTCATAGGTCGGCGCAGTGGGCTAGGTGCTCGTCGCTTACACGGCTCCCGGCCCCGGCACAAGTAGCAAAGACGAACGCTACGCTCCGTTCCTTCTTTCGTCAACCGCCACTGACCGACTCGCTCAGTTGGATGCCCACCAACGTCACGGCTGGAACGGCCGTCGTCATCTATGTGAGTGTGTTGCTCCGAGACCAGGCGCATCTGAAGAGGAGAAGATGGCAGGGAGGCGGACAGCTAATCGCATCGGGTTCCGTTCCACCTCTGTGAACATGCTGGCAGGTCCATGATGGGACGACACAGTCCTCTTCTCAGCCCGTCACGGTGCAGCCGAGCGACGATACAGGCTGCATCTCCCCTTCCAGCAGCAGCAGCAGCAGCAGCGCCAGTACCGGCAGCTCGGCATCTAGCGGCACGAGGACGGATCGAGGACCGACTCAGGATACGCCGCCGCAGACCAGCTCAGGTCTCGTCCCGGCGCCTTCGACGGGGCCGTCTCCGACGACGATGCCGAGCAGCACACCGGCACCACAGCCCACGCAGTCGGCGCAGCCCAACGGGACGACTCGACCGGCGACATCGTTCGACCTCGCCTCCCTGGCCATGGGCATCTGGGCCGTCGTTGTCCTCCTCCTCGCCTGACTTACCTTATTCGCCCGGTTGCCTTCGATGAACAACGCCCGCTACCTTTCCTGCCCATCCTCGGAGCAACTCACGACGCCGATTCAGACATCGGATGATACGTACAGTTACACACGGCGCGGACGGAAGGGAATGGTACATTGTACAAGCCTGGCCTGCTCAGACTCCACCTCGTGGCGCCATCAGCGGCGGAGGTTGAGGATGGCCTCCTCGTAGGCGGCGGGGAAGTGCATGGCAAACATGTCGAGGCGGAACTCGGGCAGGCTGAAGAACGAGAGCGGGCTCGTGACGAGGTGGATGTCGCGCCCCTCGATCCAAAAGCAGCGGCCGGGCGGGATCAGCGGGCCGCCCTGGGCAGCCTCGCTGCGCAGCGTGGCCGAGTCGAGCGCCTGCCGCCTGGCCGCCAGCTGGTGCGGCGGTGCCGCCTCGCGCTGCTGCGGCCCCACCCACGGCGAGGGCGGGATACCAGGACGACCGAGGACG